TAAAAAATCTATGAAGAATTTAATTATACAAAAATTAATATAGGAGTCCATAATATAAAATTTATGAAATTTTATAATCTCTTCATTTCATATCATAGTATTTTATACTCGCAAATTTCTTTATTTCTTATATATATATATTATATTTATATTTCATATTTTAATTCATATCTAAAAACTTCAATTTCTTTAATCTTTGCCCCAGATATGAATCTAAATAATTTATATTGTATTATATAAAAAGTATTCGAGAAATATAAAAATAAGACAATTTTGATAAAATATATCTAATAATAGATTCCTAATGTTCTAATTATAGAGTATAAAAGAAGCTTAGTTGAAAATTTAAAAATTCCATTTATTATTTTTAATTTTATCGTACAGAGAACGCCCCAATCCTATTATAAACGCTCCCATATAGATATAATAGTAAAGAAGAATAATTTAAGCAAGTGCAAATAGAAAATAAATAAATATAAAACGACAGCGCGCGATAGTAAAATATTGAAAAAGAGTAGTAGATAAGCAGAGAAATAGAAATTTAGAGAAGCAGAAAAATAAAAGTAGAAACCAAAATATAGAGATAAAATAAGCAAATGCCGACAAAGGCCGAAGTGGAAAAGCAAAAGCCCTGAAGCAGATAATGACAACTCGCGCCCGGAAGTGAGGAAGCGCAAAAGCGCAAAAGCCCACGAGACTCCCCTAAGCAAAAATAAAAAAATAGGCGCAAAAAAAAATCACAAAAACTACCCACCTCTCAAAACCGGCACGTCCCTTCGCCAGTTGTACTGCTTTGTAGAACTGGCAAGGCTAGCAGCGGCTTCAGCCCATTTGTACTACAACTTTTGCTCTACTACTATTTGCACCACCACTACTTCGTTTGGGGTTTGGGGAGTAAGGCAAATACATGTTGCTTTCTCTTACAGATCTGGTCCTCCATGCTGATAAGGGAGAACCTCTATTGCAAGCAAAATGCTGCGTGAGACGTGCAGGCTAGGAAAACATGCCCATGGGGAGCGAATCACATTTTGGCTTTCTTTGGATGCCGGGTCGGAAACGGCTTCTCCGAGTCTCAGTCAGGCAAGAAAGCCATTAGGGCAGTCCTTTTTCACATCAGGCTCACGCTGCGCAGCACCCGCAGCCACACAACAACCGCGTCTTTGTACACGCCGCTTCTCGCCGCTTCTGAAACGCGTGAGTGCCAAACGATCGGCGCTTGATGGGCCAGTCATGGCAGCCACATGCCCGAGGCAACTTCACTTTCTGCTTTGAAGCATTCGATGTTGCAGCCGAAAGGCTTCTTAGCAACAAATCTCAACATCCAAAATCGACGAGACAGGTTAGACGAAGGAAGACGGAACAGCATGCACCTACGACAACCAACACGGCAGCGAGTGAAGTGCGACCCGAGCTCTGAAGCCGAACGAGGAGAGATCTCGAGTTTTCCGATTAGCATTTTGGCTGAACCGAGGGCTTACGGCCGTTCAGGGTTTAGGGATTTTTAGGCTGTAGAAGTCAACTTCCCATGCAAACTCCTCCGCAACGAAGACATGATCATAAGGCGGCAACCCCAAGCGTCCCGCACCCCAGGAGCCCGAAAAGCCCTGAATCTAACTCCTCCAGCTTCTCTGGGTTGTAGTTTTTGGGCCTTTAAAAAAGTACTTCTGAATAGGTACCTCTATAAGAACCATAAGGGAAATTTTGAAGTTTCCCAAATTGCCACCTAGTTCTGGATTCCTCATCCCTACACCAGCAACTTGAGGTCTCTCCGATCGCAAGCACATCAGGGCACTTCTCCGGCCCCTTCAGCCGGCGCTGCCTGGGTTTGGCGTTTGGGTTTGATGCGGGCGTAGGCATCCAGTGATCAGGGTCCTTTCAGGGCCCTATAGGGGGGGTTTAGGTATGTTTGAGTTCGATTGTTTCACATTGACCCCAGCATTCATTTTCCCGGGGACCGAAGCAGTTGTATTGCGCTGCGTCTTGAGAGAAAGCTGCAAGTGCCTTGTCTCCGGATCTATCCGAACTCCTGGTGTCGGCTTAATGTTTGGGTCGCGACTTCAGCCCTAACGGAACAGCATTGGGAAATAGCATGAGCAAAATGCCAATCAAACTTGCAGTTCGACATCTAACTCTACTGACCAACGGTTATCTCACGGCCACGGTAATCATGACATTGACAACAAACTCAGTGCTCGCCTTGTTATGAATGGCTTGTACAGCGGAACTGGGCATGGTACTGCTTCGCCGACCTCGGCGAGCGCAGGCGCCTGCATGACGAGCAGGAGCAATTCTTGTCATTCTCACGAAAGAAAATCCACCAAGGGCGGGATGAAGGACAAGACGAGGGGTAGATCTTACTTTCAGAAGAGGCGGAGGACGTCCAGAGCCGCTCATCTCGTGTTGCGGCCCACTGCACATAACTTTGAATGCAGCCTTGTTTTGGTCGAAATGTAAGATTTCGACTGCCTGCGGGAATGCACAACAAGGAATACCGGTCAGACGCTGCCTGTATCTGCATGAAGCTTACTGGTTAGCACCAAAATCCTCCACTGCAAATTAACATAGATGTTGGTCACCCTAAACCCTAAACCCCTGGTGCCCCGAAATGTCACCAGTTTGAGGTAACTCTGCCGTCTTTGGCTCTGCCTCGCTCGTCGGCGCCTTGTCCGCGGCCGCCTCGCACTGGAGAGTGCGGGGATGCTGGAAGTTGAAAGCTGAGAAGCAGGTGATTTTCAGAAACTCCGAAATGAAATCTCGAAGATTCTTTCCAAGCACACGCCTCAACTCTAAGCCATCAAGACACAGACTGAAGTGCCCGAAGTCACGTCTCGCGGATCCTGGACGCTAGCCCTGACCGAAGGAACGTTGCCTCTTTCCCCCTCCCGGGAACAGCCTTCACCCTACAGGGTTTCCTGCGGCCTCTGCTGCTGGGGCGGCAGGATCTGCGGGCGGCTCCTCCACAGCTGGGGCCTCAGGCCCAAAGTCTCAGAGACAGGAAGCACCAGCTCAGCAATCAACACCATTGCGGTTACTCGCTAAACCCTAAACCCTGAACCCTGAACCCTAAACCCTGAACCCTAACCGCTACATCGTGCGCGGAGTATTTGTGGATGGTCTTGCTGTCATCTTGCATGCTGCTGCTGTTGTTATTGCTACCGCTGCCGTCGTTGCTGAAGCTGTTGCGAGTGGTCATCAGCAGTGTTTCTTTCTATCATGGCTATGTACGACGACTGTTGTAAAGGCGACCGCGGTTAGCAGCTAGCAGGCACTACTGCCCATAGCAGCACACGACTGCACAAACTCAGAAGCTGAAGCCTGCAACCACCGAAGACCCTCTATTTCCCGGCAAAGCTGCTGCAAGGCTCACGCCACAAGCTTCAAGCCCCGAAACCTATGCCGGAGACTTTTACCACCCTTAAAACCTGAACACCCTGAACCCCAAAACCCCTAACCCCCAAACTCCAAACCCTGAACTTTCGCTACTTGGAGGTTCATGGGTAGTTATAACTGGGGTTATAAGTTCCCTAATATGGGTTATAATTACAGTTACCCTACTTATAACCCTACTTATAACTACCCATGAACCTCCAAGTAGTCCCCAAATCTGGAGAAGCCGCAGACCGCACCTCGAGGCCTTCGGCCCCTGCTGGCGGAGGTTCCTTGCCAAGCGGTTTTCCAGACGGCGTCCACGGTTCCGGTTTCGGGTTTTGGGGGTTTGGGGTTTGGGCTTCGGGTGCCGGGGGTGCGAGATTCGGGGTTTAGGGTCTTGGCTTTTTAGGTTTAGGATTTAGGGAGTTAGATTAGGCACTTGCATCCACTCCGCTCCGTGTTGGAGTAACAGTCATGGGCCTGGGGCTTGGGTGGGCTATCGGGGCACGGGGCAGGGCTTGTCTACAAACGCTACCAAGAGCCTTGGCCATGAGTGTAAAGAGAGCAGAAGGATACTGCCTCATTAAACTAAACATCATCGCATTAACAGCACCGAATACTCATCAAAAATCATCGCAGCACCGATAACTCCACCACCGTTCATACCACGAGGAATGTCGCAGCTGAAGCTGCAGCAGGGAGAGCGAGCAATGGCATCGTCAGGTTGGAAAGAAGGATCCACGTCATGTGACCTCCCAAAGACCCTACAGTACACGGTAGGATCTGTAGCGCAGTGATCCCTAAAGAAGGGGACCTCTACAGTCTTGAGAAACCCCGCAATTACATGCGATTATGGCTCCTCCACCGGTGCCGCATCCGCGGCCTCAAAGAAGTTTTGAAAGTCAAACTGCTTCGAGTGCGTTTTTCTGCACTTGTCTGCGACAGGCATGGCAAGAGGAACTGCTTGAAACGAAGTATTCCGGCGCGTGTGAAGAAATTGAAACTGGAACTCGGTTTGGGCATTCTTCTTCCGTGACTTTCTTGGGCTGTCGGGTCTCAGAGTCTCAACGGAGAACACCCAAGATCCTGCCCCTCTAAACCCTAAACCCATGCCCCAGATCTCCGATCTGGACCTTTGGCTCGAGTATTCTGGCACTGTTCAACCTGAAGTGCTTAAGAGGGGCAGGAATATCCAAAACCCTAAAACCGAAATGGACAGAGGCGACGACAGCAGGCAGCTTCAAAATCTGGAGGCTTGACTCGCAATCCCAACTCTGACCCAACGCTACGAACCCACGAGCCTAAGCTCCAAAGCCGTTACAAGCCCCAACTCGAAAACATCGGAGACTCAAAGCCTCGACAACCCTGCGAATCCTGAGGCCCTGAACCTTCCTCATCCCGGATTCCGTGCAACGTAAACCCTCAGCTCCAGGCAGCAGCTCCCTCGTCCGCCGCCGGTGGCTCTTGCACCTCGTTGTTGAGAGCTCGCGCTCTGAGGCTTTAGGGCTAGAGCTGAGGACGGAGCTTGGCCTCTAGTTTAGAGCTTTGGGTTTGGTATGCCGTAGTCAGACTACTAACAGCTGGTCTCAACAATAGGTCGACGCATCCCTTGGACAGCGACAATGCAAACAAAAGAGGACATAACAAGATTAGAGACATCAGTCATCATCACGAGAAGAATGACAAAAAGGAACACGCCAACACGGATCTTGCCATCCTCATGCATACATGCATACATGCATACATGCATGCATACATACATACGTACCGTTACAGCACATACATTGCATACATACATCGTGCATACGAATGTACTACATATGCACACACATAGTACATATGTGCAGTCTGCTGTGTACTACGATTGTCAACATGGCATGTAACATAACTGGAGCAAACATTGTCGCGGCTCTGGGACTTAGCGTTCAGCTCACTTGGTCCCTCTTCCTAACACGTCCAAACCCCGAAGTCTGCCCTAAACCCTACACAAAGACGAAACCTAAAACCTTGTCAACTGACAGCCCTATCCCATGGGCTAAGTCTTCTGCCGCTGTGACACTAAAGATCCAAGACTCATTGTTAGCACGATCTCTTCTAAACCTGGAAAGCCCTCTGCGGCCTACAGCACACCCTTACGGTTTCAAAGCTTAAAACCCCTAAAAGCCTCCGTTCCAAAATCAAACTACTAAACGAAACTCCGAAGGCCTAAACCCTTAGACAAGAGCAGTTCGCTCGCCCTGCGACCTCGGCCGGCGCCGCTGCTTCTGCAGCTATCGGGGCCGCTTCCTCGGCCTCGAACTCGGCTTGCAGGGTTTAACTGTCATGCGTGCCCGACATCGTAGCTAGGCATTTAACTCTGGCTGGCGTGCCGGCGCAGCTACGGGTTTTGCACTAGGGCATGGGGTTAGGAGTTTTGCTTTGCACCAGTTTAATTAGGGGTCAAGGTCTCGTGGTTTTTGGGCACGTTTTCGTGGGTTCGTTTCCTTCAGCCATGAGCTCCCGGGAGTTTTCAGCGCTGAGTGTCTGTTCCGCACAATCCCCCTGCGCACCTCCGCAGGGGCTGCGTCGCTGGCCGCCGGGGCCAATGCATCATCAGCCTGCGTTTGCGCAGAGTGCTGCTAGGGTAAACGACGATCACCAACAGCTCAATTCGAACACAGGCTGCAGCGACGACATGGAGTGAAAGAAACACATACGAAATGCCACGCCACCTGAACGACAGAACAGACGAGGCCGATTGGTTGTTCTGCCAAGTCCTGAATTGCCCGATCTACATCTCCTGCGTACAAGATCCAAGCCCACACAACTTCACAACCTACGACTACGGACTACAGGTTGATGATGATACCGACAGACACTTCATATGGTCAAGTATCTGCAGATCAGATGCGCAAGAGGGACAAACATAGAGAAAAAAGAGTAAGTACTACTACGCAGTCCTGCAAGGTTGTATATGATGAGCCTCAGCATTCTCACTGGAGTCACATGTCTTGCTCTTGTCAACGGGAGATCTGTGTCTGACATGATAGTACGAAGCTGCACCTCAGCAGCCAAAGTTTTGGGTTTAAAGCTGATCCGGTTGAAAGTAAGGCGAAAATGACCTGGCACATCATGGTGTTCTATCCGCTGAAAGACGTGTCTTTCTCAAAATCTCATCCAATACCATGTGTCAGCACCATCGGAAGCCCAGGCTTTGTGAGCATCTTCCAGATCTGCGCAGTTCCACGTCTTGTCTTTTCCTTGAAACTTCAACATGTGGTGTGGACAAGGGAGATGATGGTCGACAAGCCCGTTGACATCCTGGTCACCACAAAAACCGAAGTGTGCCTCGGTCGTCCCTATTTTTCATCTTCTGTTCGACTTGAAATTCGAAACTCTCAAAACTTGAAACAAGCTCCCTGGCGTCAAACTGATAGCCAGAAACAGTCGCTATCAGATTCCTCGATGGATCGACATGCTCACAACGATTCACGATCTTGGGAACGGAACTCGGAGGTTGCCAGCATCCGCATTCATCTTCAGGCGTCACAGTGCGTCCTACTCCTACTCTCCATGGTCAACCGATCGAGGCACCTCTGGGACGCCCATGGCCGTTCTGAGCTCCTCAGGGACCCCAAGGGCAGGTTAAGGGGTTTGGCACGTGTACATCCGTGAACAATTATCTTGTAAGATGAGGTGAAATCTGCTTCTCGAAGTATACTGACTTCTCCCTGGCTGTTCTTGCGACAAGTAAAGAATGCAACAAGCGCAGAAACACAATGCCATACAATCTTACCTCCACAGCCTGTAATTCTGCACGTGTGCACTTGCATTCGCATTTCTAGGTATTCGTCCATTTGCACAACCGGCTCATGCATGCAGGATAGCACATCTCTGTGCATGTGCATCATGTGACATGCGTATACAATGTGTGCACATATATCTGACACCATGGTATGTTTTTTGCAATTTACAGGACACGACAGCATGGATCGCTGTATTGCGCATGAAGATCCCGTGTGTGTGTGTGTGTGTGTATATATGTTGCGTCAAGCCTTTTCAGGCTTCACAGGTTGGCAGGAAGCCTCTGAAAAAAACACTCTGTACAGTTGAGCTCTCACAACTGCTGCTTCTATCCTATCCATGATAGAACTCTAAGCCCAAACAATGGTCGAACATGGTCGAAGCGGTCCTCCTGGAGAGTCGCGTCGGGACGCATCGAGGCGAGGACCTACAAGAAACGCAGCAGGGCAGGGTAGTGAGTCACCTGAAATGCCTAGGGGTTCCATGCGAACACCGGTCCGAGGACTCACCATGATCATGCTGAAGATACGATACTGGACGTGCAACTTAGGAAGGACACGGTACAAAGGGTGCCATACAGTGTATTGGGACGAAATAGAGTTCAGTGCGCAAAGGACTGTTGTCCACCTCATATCACATCGCCTCACGGAAAGAATTTGTTCTGTGAAGTCTGTCCTTCTGACAACCAAACCGGTTCAGACCCGGAAACTTGAAAGTTTCCTCACAAATGCCCGTCGGAAACCGTCAAGCCTCAACCCCCAATCTGGAAATCTCAAGAAGATCTCCGAGATTGCGATCCCGGACGACGGAACTCCGACATGCAAGAAGAACAATGGTGCGCTTTATCTCGCAGGATTCAGTTCTGCCTTCAGGGTTTTGGGAGGCTCCGTGTTCAGGTTTCTGGGTTCAGCGCTGACTCGCTGACCATTACTTCTTAACGCTGCGGCTACCTCTTGTATTGCCATTATAGTACTAACGCCTATTCTATTCTATTCTTACCATACTAAACATATTATAGGAGAACAAATATTTTTCTAAACATATTATAGGGAAAAAAATATTTTGCCCCTATAATATGTTCAGTGCAGGCGGACTCATTAACTGAAGCCCGACGCTCAAAGCAGGACATTGCCGGACCTCGGGGTCTTCGATGTCAGAGTCGAAGGCCTGTGAAGCATTGACGCGTAGGGTCGCTGTGGGGCTTAGCCGAGCCTAGGGTTTAATGAGTTTGGTGGGTTTAATGGGTTTAGGGTTGAGAGGTGAGGTTATGGAGTCCAACGACTATGGACGGGGATCACGGAGGAAGAAAACGCAAGAGGGTTGACTCGAGCGGCTCACTATGACTCGTAGCTGATTCAGGGCTGGGCGAGCAAACACCACTTGTGACCGGCACCAATCCCACCGCAACACTTGTCATGAGACCGAATACGAATACCTCGTCGTCACCACCCTACCAACCATCAGGGTAAGAACATTCATACTCTGACAGACTCCCCGCCACTCCTCTGTCTCTGGAGTGCCAGGTACTTTGTCTTCGGCCTGGCGAAAGTGGGACGGGAGAGGTGGAGAGGTGGCGAGGTGGGTCAACGCTGGCCCTGTCCCTGGGTTTAGGGATTAGGAGGTTTTTCAAAAGTGCATACGTACACGTGCACAGGCGCACCTGCATACATACACTCGTACCTGCACACACGAACGGAATCTGAAGATAACATCTGTGCCTGTATCCATGTGTCTCTCTTCCTATCTACCCCTCTCCTGGTATCATATCCTTTGTTTCACATGCATATTCAAGAGAGAGAGAGAGAGAGATAGGCGGACAAACACAAACAGGCAGACAGACAGAGTACAAAAACGTAGAGCGAGCGCAGCGAGCGAGAGACAGGGAAAGAGACAGAGCCAGAGGGACGGAAAAAGAGAGCTAGAGAGAGCGACAGAGAGGGAAGGAAAGGAAAAAAGCAAGATAGAGCCTGCTGTTGGGCCCGCTTAAGTATACATCTGTATGCATGTGGGTGCGTAAAATCATTTCGAACCAACATGAACATGACGGCAGAGGCTTTTCTTGGATGGCGCGCCCTCTACCTTACACCGTGAAGCTTGAGACATACAGACGGAGACTCACATCAATTCATGTCTTCTGGTATTCCCAACCTTAAAACCCACATCCCAGCCCGAAACACCCCTTCAACCACGGCAGCACTGCCATGCGAGGAGGCCGATACACCTGCACATAGGACGAATTCTGCCCGTCTTGGGCTGTTAGACTCTTTAGAAGCTTTGCATGACTTTGCCCATTTCGGGACTAGGCTGTTTGGCCATTGAGGCTGGAGGAACAGGCTGAAGTGCTCGGTGAACATCTGTCAACCTTATCCTCATCTGCGGATGCATTCTCAATGTAAGCTACACTTGCAAGTTAGCATAGGTCGCATGACATGTCAGCCCTCCGACGGCTGCGCGCAGTTTCCCAGAACACCGGCAACGCCAAGAGCAAGCTCCGGCTAGTCACTAGTCTGCCTAGTAGGACTACCGGCCGAGCCCAACTTCGATATTTGATGTGCAGAACTAGGTGACCCAACGGGCACAGCGTGGAACCTTCCTTACCTTCATCGTCGCTCTGTCTTTCCGGAAGCCGCTAAATGGAAATACAAAGGTTCGTATACTTGCCTCATACAGCGAGTAGCATGCACTCTGCAGCGGAGCTTTACTTCGCATCCCTCTACAAATCTAGGTTTGGGTTTACTGTTGTTGCTTCACTTTGGACAGCTCTATCCACCCTGCCTTTCCTCTCGCGTTCATTGGCTTACAGCTTCATTAGTCTACCCGTCTTCGTGCCCGCAAACACCAAACAGCAAGTTTCCAACGACTCCACTACAGTTGGGACATCGACCCTGACCCCCTCTTTGTACGAATCGGAGGTTCGGAGGGAGGGTCTAGGATTTTGAGGGGTGACGCAGTGTAGGAAGTGGCGAAGGCCGCCTTGTGCATGTGCCGCGGCTGATTAAATCTAGGCGTCGGCATCTTCCGCCGATATGGGTGAGGAGCCTGGCAGCCGGACGGTAGCTGAAAGCGCTTAGGGTTTAGGGTTTAGGGTTTAGGGTACGGTTGAGGGGTTTGGGCTGAAGGATTTCATAGGGTCGACGGATGACGGACACAGGGCTTTGGTGGGTTCGGACTAGTGCTCAGGGCTTTAGAGTTCCAAGGGGTTAGCACCTAGAGCCAAGAGCGGCCTCATCTTGGAAACCCTGCTCCAAGCCCAAACCCTAAACCCTAAACCCTGAACCCTAAACCCCTAAACCCCTAAACCCTAAACCCTAATCCCAAAGTCCCAAGCCTTGAACATTTGCCTTTAAGCCTCCATTCCTTTGGTTGGGGTCTTTGCAGTGGTGGTGAGGCCCCCGCCGTCTGTTTGAAGGGTTCTTCGAATTAAGGGCTCAGTCGACGATTGAGGCATCTAGAACAAGATCCCAGCGACTGGGACTCTTGCGTGCAAGAGCCCCAGCCAAAAGCAACTTCCACCAGGACCAAGCGTGGGATTCTACTTAGGTATTCTACTTCAACACCGTGTGGACATGAAACTCGAGATGTGGCAGTCACACACACTTTAACCTTGGCAACGCAACAAAGCGCGCCTGCGGCGGCATCTCGTCCTGAGCAGCAGAAGCTAAAGTGTAGGGCGAGGCTTGCTAGTGTCCAACCTCGAACACTCGAGGAATTCGGCAGAGCCCTGAAAGCCACGTGTGAAGCAGAGCCGTCCTGGATCCTGGCGACGTAGCCCCAGAGTTTCTGGCCCTGCACAGCCGCCTGGCTTCACCGGACCACTGGGATGGCTGTATTGACGACGATGCTGGTTATGCCATAACTTCTGCCCCTATAACGCACCCATGCGCACCCCTGCCCTAAAGAGTGTCAAGCCCGTTTCCGACGTTGGGACGTCGGGATTGCTTCAAGCTGCAAGCTCAGTTGGACATCTCACAAAGACTTTTCAGATATCCGAAAGCCGAGCATCTAAGACCCGGAACATCCTCAGGCCCGAATCCCGAACGCCTAAAAGGTAAAACCATCGTATGCCGTAAGCCCTAAGCACTAGAGATTAAGGGTGGGCACATTCGGCGATCGATGCAACATGGGGACGATCATCCCCATAAACATCCCCCAAACCATGCCACAACCCCATGAACATGCCCAAAACATCACCCACACCCAAACACAAACAGTGTCCTAGACATGAGCCCTCTCCCAGTGCCCATGTCCTGGGGCCCTCTCAGTGCCCGTTTCTAGCCGATCGATCCAATTTTATCGGATGTTCCCCCCCGACACGGGCCCTCTCTCAGTGCCCGTGTCCTTGACATGGGCCCTGTCAAAGTGCCCATGCCGAGCCATGGCTCTGTCGGATGATACCGGATGGGGCCCTCACAGTGCCAAGAATAAGACTAAGACTACAACTACTGAGCGGTGTTCAAGGGGATGATCGTCATGTCCCTGAGAGCATGAGTTAGGCTGTCGGCGTCCAGCCTTACCCCAGACCCCAAAAGCCTCAGCCCAAAATACTAATGCAGGGGCCTTAGTAATTAGAATAGGGTTTTGGTGCCCAGTATGCTCAAATTATCATAAGAAACCCCCCAAATTAAGGAACCCCCAAACTAGATGAGGAATTATCATAAGGAACCCCCAAAATCATGTAGGTAATTATTAGGAACCCCCACAGTAATGTAGGTAATTATGAAGGCCCCTATACTAAACCCTAAACCCTAAACCCTAAACACTACCTCCCGCCCCGGAGAGCCTCGGCTTGCCGTCGATCGCGAAAGCGGACGGTGCAGCTGCCTGGGTGGGTGCAATGCAGGCTTCGGGCTCAGGGGTTTAGGGGTTTAGGGGTTTAGGGGTTTAGGGGTTTAGCAGTTTAGGGGTTCAGGGTTTAGGGTTTAGGGTTCAGAGTTTAGGGTCTAGGATTTAGGGCTTAGGGTTCAAGGTTCAGGGTTCAGGGTTTAGGGTTTGGGGTTTAGGGTTTAGGGTTCATGGTTTAGGGTTTAGGGTTCGGGTTACCATTTGGGTTTGACATGCAGGTGGGATTGGTTCGCAATACTATTCATTCGTTCGGGTGTCCGAAGCTTCAACCCAAAACCTGAAGCCTCAATGAGTTCCCAGAAAAGTGATTCTTTAATTTTGATTTAAGTTGAGTTTGATATAGAAGCCTAAGTGGTTACTACATGCTAGTTCTACATATTCCTGTGGTAGCTTTGGGATACTGTACCCCAGAATCCTGTTTGAATTGTGAAGAGGCAACTGCATTCCAGGATACCCAGGGCTTCTTTAAGGGGTCTTTATGAGAGTTCCGTTCTGGGCTCTAGGACTGAAGGGTCATTCTGGTTTCAGACAGGTTTAGGATCTTGTGTAAAATGATGGCGTGTATAAGACTCCTATCCCGCCTACTTCGGTGTTGCTGCGATGGGTTCAGGGTCAACAGGATTCGAACTAGCCGCGTAAGACTGGTTTAACTTGAAACAGCTGTGCACCAAAACCTGGATTGCTTGCTTCTCGAAGAAGGTTTTAGTTCATCTAGCATGAAACCGTTAATACAAAACCAGTCTATTCAGCTTGAAGACGCACGAATGGAGTGTCAGCCATTGTCCAAGTAGTACTCGCCGGCCACAGGTCTGGCACCAACTGAAGCCCATCGCGGGATAGCACGGCTGCTGAAGGCAGGTTTGGTGGCCTTCGTCGCAACCACAAATGTGGACGGCTTGCACAAAAAGGCCGGGCATTCTTCCCCATATCTGCGCCGAGTTGCGGTAGCTGAAGGGTATAACAATATGATGGACAAGGAATTTGGAAGCTGTGTAGTACTTGATCTGACCCACCACTAAGGCAGCACAAAGCCGGACGTTGAGGTTCATCAGCAAAACAACACAAACCATGATGTGGGCAATTCTGTGCATGATTTGAAAGGCAGGGCTGCCATCAGAGTGCCTGGCCGAGCTACACGGCAACAGCTTCGAGGACAGCAGGGAGCTTAAGACACGCGGAACTAACGCCCCAATGCTTTCTTGTGTGTGCGTCCAGGAAGCGCATGGATTTAGTGGTCTGCAAAATTTTAGCAAAGCAGGAGGAGTGCGGCAATTGCGGCAGCAGGCTCGCCATGCCTTACATCTGTGTACCCGTGTGTTTCTACCCGTGGTCCCGGACGAGAGTGCGAGATTCTTTAGGGCCCAACCACCTCAAACCTTTTTTCGCGAGGGGTGATGTCTGTTTGTGGTTCCTAGACCTTACCCCAAAACCTAAACCCTAAACCCTATACTATGAAAGGGTCCTTTTAAGGAACCCTAAAACCGAAACTAAACCCTAAACCCTATACCATAAAAGGGGCCCCTTCTAAGGGACCCCAACACCTAAACCCTGGGGTAGGTTCGAAAGAGACTTCGTGGTGCGAACCGCGTCGAGCCTCTTCGACCATGAGACGGGAAGGCCGGGGCCCTCTGGTTAAGGAATTTAGGGGTTCGGGGTTTAGGGCTGAGGGGTTTTTGGGGTTTAGGGTTTAGGGTTTAGGATTTAGGGGTTTGGGGTGTAGGATTTAGGGTTTTTTGGGGTTTAGGGCTGAGGGGTTTGGGGTTTTAGGATTCAGGGATTTTCGGGGTTTTTGGGGGTTTAGGGTTTTGGGGTTTAGGGATTTAGGCGTTTAGGGTTTTGGGGTTTGGGGTTTAGGGTTCAGGGGTTTCGGGGTTTGGGGTTTAGGGCCGAGTGGTTTGGGGTTTTAGGATTCAGGGGTTTTGGGGGTTTTGGGGGTTTAGGGTTTTGGGGTTTAGGGATTTAGCGTTTAGGGTTTTGGGGTTTAGGGTTCATCGGTTTAGAGTCTATAGGGGTTTAGGGTTTTGGGGTTTTGGGGTTGAGGGGTTTAGAAACAAGGCCAATCAATTATTCTAGCGACCTCTAGAATGAACCTGCAAATATTATAGACACCCGACATGTGCCGGATGGCTGCAGAGACGACCGAAGTGCTTGTAGGTAAACTCTTGAGGACGATCTCTTGTTGTCAAGCTTTTTGAACTTTTCGGCTTCTAAACTACCCCACCCTGGTACAACTGTCGATGGAGCATTGCGTCCAGTCCTAGACTACTAGCCCACGATCAGAATTCTGAGATGGGCGTGCGCCCAGTAATCCGCGGCGGGATGTCTTGACTTTCTGTGGTTTTGGTTCGGAGGGGGATTCCGGAGTTCAGGGCTAAGGGTTGATGCTACTAGGTTTAGGTTTAGGTGTTTAGGGTCATGACTTTGGGTTTGAGGGGTTCAGGGATTGTGGGTGTAGGGATGTATGATGGTTTAGTGATTCAGGGGTTTGCAGTGTGGGAGTTTCAACGTTTAGGGCTTCTGTGGTGTAAATGTCTTGGCTTCGGGTCAAATGGTTCGGAATGCTGACACCCAAAGACCTGGAGTCTTAGGGTTTAGGGTCTTGGGGTTTAAGTTTAGGGTGTAGGGCTTTTTGGGTTTAGGGTTTTAGGGTTTGGGTTTTAGGGTTTACGGTTTGGAGCCGTAACCCCCTGGCTGAAACCCCTCGGCCCTACACCGGCCCGGAGGCGCTGCGAAGAATGCGGTGGCCCATTGCGGGACACGAACCTCGGGACGAGTTGAGCTCCCGGAGTGGTTTCGGGTGTTGCCAGATCTTGTTTTCCTTCAGTTGGGTTTTGGGTTTAGGGTGTAAGAGGTTTGTGTCTATTTCGAGCATAGCCTTAGGTCTCCTTCGTTCATCACCAGGCTTTCACGGGCTTTCACTCCGCGGAGCCAGAGCGCATGAGCCCCAAGAACACACACAAAAACACAGAGGCCGCACCCCCTAAGAATGCCAGAAATCACGACAAGACTCTCCAAAGTTTGGGTTCAGTGTGGGACATGGTTTGAAGGAGAGAGAGATGTTCTGAACCTGGTTCAAGAAGGCATCGTTGTAGATTGAATGTCTTGGGTTCTCTGTGGCACTTTCAACTACAGGCTGCTGGTGCGAAAGGCCAGCATGCATCGGTGGCCGTCAAGTCTGGACCGATTTGGGGGTTTGGGTTTACCACGCCGAAACCCCAATTATGCCGGGGATGTCCGGGTCTTGCACTCCTACAGCTGGCAAGATGGAGTCTCAAAAGCCTGTCCTTCCTCTCAGAGCCTACCAGGCCTACCATACTTCCATAGACAGGCAGCTTTCAGTCTGAACCCTAAAACCTGTGATGTAGGGGCCTAAATAATTACCTATATTATTTCGGGTGCTCCTTGTCATAATTATAGTACAATATGCCCCACAACCCTATTCTAATTATTAAGGCCCCTGCATTGCCCGAAGCCCTTGACCCTTCGCCCCTAAATCATCAGAGCCGAGCCGGTCACCAGAAAGCCTACACCAGCCTTATCGCAGGATCGTCCTAGAGGTCGGATCCTGAAACCTTGTGTCTTGAGGGCCACGAGGTCACGGGATCTCTGCCCTTAACCCGTAACCCTAAACCCTAAACCCTAAGCCCAAAGCCCCTTAACCCTAAACCCTGAACCCAAAACCCTAAGCGCTGAGCCCTAAACCCTAAACCCAAACCTTAAGACAGCCAGGGCTTTAGGGCTTAGGGCTCATGGGTTGCAGAGCTCAGGGCCGAACCAACAACCCTAAAAGCTGGCAGATCGGCCAAAAAAAGGTCTTCAAAAACCACAAACCTACACCCTAACCCTACTCTAGTATCTTATACCCTAAGCCCTAAACCCTAAAACCTAAACCCTAAGGACTACACGGGAACAAGATTACGTTACGGTGTATAAACCGTAACCGTATGGCCTAGAAGCCAAAGTACGAAAGACCTTTATGTACTATTTGGCGATAGGCTCTCTGTATAGTATAATGATCCAGCCCCCCAGCCCACCGCCTCCAGCCCAGCCCTGCCCAATTAAATTTTAAGGATTTTAAGAATTTTAAAATCCGTAAAATCCTTGAAATTTAATTGGACGCCCAATTAAATTTCAAGGATTTTATTGCCCTTAAGATCCTTAAAATCCTTAAAATTTAATTGGCCGCCCAATTAAATTTTAAGGATTTTAAGGATTTTAAAATTTTAATTGGGGGCCTCCGGCCTCCAGCCCAGCCCC